AATTTAGAGAGAAAAAATTTCCGCTTCACCCAGCCGGGAATCGAACCCGGGTCTCCCAGATACGCGCCGGGCACTCTTACCGACTAAGCTACCGGGAACCACAGAAATTCACTCTCAAATTCACCTCATACACCGCCTTACCTCCTGCAGGCATTAAAGAATTCTAAGAGAATTAGAATTTAGAGAGAAAAAATTTCCGCTTCATCCAGCCGGGAATCGAACCCGGGTCTCCCAGATACGCGCCGGGCACTCTTACCGACTTTTAAGCTACCGGGAACCACAGAAATTCACTCTCAAATTCACCTCATACACCGCCTGACCTCCTTTAGGCATTAAAGAATTCTAAGCGACCATTACCTAAGCATTTACAGTCACAGAAAGCTGTAGTTAATGTGAAGAATGACGATGAGTTTTGTTTTTTGTGGGCTATTATAGCAGCTCTTCATCCTGCTACATCTCATATTGATCGAATGAGCTCATATCCTCACTATTCTACAGCAACGTTACCAGATAAAATGACCAAGCTTAAATATTAAGGCTTTGATTTTCCAATGAAATTAAAAAATATCCCTAAGTTCGAGGAGTTGAATCGATTAACAATTACTGTTTATGGCGTAGAAGCGAAGGAAATCGCCCCTCTTTACTTAAGTAAACAACAATCTCACTGGCCAACAATTCATCTTCTTCTACTTTGTAGCAATATGTATGTAGATGATGATATACAACCCGTTTACCACTTCGCATGGATCCGAAATATATCTCGATTGATAAGCTCACAAGTTTCGAAGCATAAACATTATATAGAGTTTTGTGATCGATGTTTCATTTTGTCAATGAAAAATCCTTTGAGAATCACCGAGTTGATTGGTACAATATTAACAAGTATAAAATGTCTCTACCTGACGATGGGAATAATATCTTGAGTTTCAAAAATTATAAGTATAAAGAGATGGTCTCATTCGTAATTTATGGCGATCTTGAATGTATCCTTGCATCAACGGAGAACGAAGCCATGTATCAGAAACACATCCCTCATAGCGTAGCTTTCTATTTACATTGTTCTTTTGATGAAAATGTATCAGAATTCAAAATCAAACGAGGAACGGACTGTATTGAATTGTTCATGAATGAGTTGCAACGAATAGCTTACCAAGTTGATCTCTCCCTAAAGACAATCATTCATATGGAGCCATTGATACCTGAACAGGCATTTGAATATGCTAAAGCACAAATATGTCATATTTGTGAAAAACCATTCGTTGGAACTGATTCAAAATATCGCGATCATTATCATTTTACGGGTAAATATAGAGGCCCAGCACATCGCAAATGAAACTTGAATTATAAGAACTATCATGTATTTCCAGTAGTATTCCATAACCTCTCTGGTTATGATGCACACTTCCTGATCAAAGCTTTAGCAACTCGATTCGAAGATTCTATAAATTTTCTTTCAATTAACAAAGAGAAATATATTTCATTCACGAAAAAAGTTGAAGGTACTGCAGTTGACCTAAGATTTATTGATTCATACCGGTTCATGGCAAGCAGTTTAGAGAAGTTGGCATTATATCTGAATAATACAAATAAATTTATCACACGTAAATATTGTGATAATGATCAGAAGAAATTTGAATTGTTAACGAGAAAAGGAGTATTTCCCTATGAATACGTATATTTGTGGGAGAAATTTGATGATAGAAAATTACCAGCAAGAGAACAATTTTATTCCAAACTGAATGACGAGGATATTTCCATGGAGGATTATATATGCGCTCAAGAAGTGTGGAATACATTCAATATTAATTAATTAATCATCAATTAATCAATTAATCATTAGGAGAATACTCAGATTTGTATCTCACAACCGATGTATCACGTTTAACTGATATCTTTCAAAATTTTAGCCTTACCTGTTTATCTGTTTATAAACTTGATCCCTTGCATTATTATACAGCGCCTGGGTTAGCATTTGATGCAATGCGGAAATGCACAAATGTAAATCTTCAACTGTTAACCAATATTGGAATGCATTTATTTATCGAGATAGGTATCCGAGGAGGTGTCGCTCAGTGCTCTCATCGACACGCTCGTGCTAATAATAAATATATGGGTAAAGATTTTGATACGCATAGAGAAGCATCCTATCTAATGTATTTTGACGTTAACAATCTGTACGGTGCAGCTATGTCAGAATATTTACCTTATAGATCTTTTAAATGGGTAGATCCATCTACTGTGGACATTACTCATATCTGTAATGATTCGAACGAAGGTTATATTCTTGAGGTTGACTTGGAGTATCCTCGTAATCTTCTTGAAACGCATAAAGATTTAGCCATTTGTCCAGAACATTTCATTCCACCGAATAAAAAAATCTCAAGATTGATCTGCACGCTACTTACGAAGAAAAATTATGTTATACACTACAAAAATTTGAAACAATGTTTAAATTTAGGGTTGAAGTTAATGAAAATCCGTCGTATACTGAAATTTAATCAAGCCCCATGGTTGAAACCGTACATTGATATAAATACAAAATTACGGAAAAAATCGAACAATGAATTTGAGAAAAACTTTTTCAAGCAAATGAATAATGTTGTTTTTGGAAAAACCATCGGAAATGTACGGAAACAAAGAGATGTGAAACTAATTACAAAATGGGAAGGAAGATATGGAGCTAAAGCCCTAATCGCTCAGCCGAATTTCCATAGTTGTACTATATTCGATTAAATAAATGATCTAGTAATTATCCAATCAAACCGCACTAGAATGTATTTCAACAAACCAATTTACGTTGGATTTTCAATCCTAGATCTATTCAAAATATTCATTTATGATTTTCATTATGAATATGTGAAAAAAAAATTTGGTGACAGAGTGAAATTAATGTATACTAATACCGATAGTTAACTGTATGAATTCAGAGTGCCTGATATATACGAATAGCAGTGATAAACAAAAATTTGACACATCTGATTATCCCAAAGATAATGTCTATGGCATTGAACTTGCTAATAAGAAAAGGTTAGGACTTATGAAAGACGAATGTAATGGAAAAATAATCAGTGAGTTCATAGGTCTTCGAGCTAAATTATATACGTTTCGAATTCACGGGGATAAAAACGAAAAAAAACGTGCGAAAGGTGTCAAAAGTTCTGCTTTGAAAACTATCACATTCGACGATTAACGAAAAATCGTCTTGAGTTGGCAAGATGACAAAAGAATAATCTGTAGGAATTTAATTGATACTGTACCATACGGTTATTTTGATGAATAAAAAGACACATTTTCTGATATAACCGATATTTTAATCTTTATTCTTTCAATAAAATATTACATTTATGAGAGTTTACAAATCATCTTCATCTATCCAACTGTTGTGAGAACTATCAAAACCTAACCACTTGACGAAAACTCTGTTTCCACGCCTTTGAAGCACTTTTTCTACAAGGTAAACGTCAGGATAAGTCACTCTCGTTAATTCCTCTTGATAAAATCCGCCTTCGATGGGCTTCTCTTCATAATCGAGTTTATATGTCACCGGATTGGTGTTCACGACTTCGCTTATTGTAAATATCTCTGTTGTCCAATTGGGTGTATAACCTCTCTCAAAAACATTCTTGTACTTGCTAATGCGCACCTTATCTCCAACTTTGAAATTGATTTTGCGCGTGCGATGAGCTTTCAATTTTCCATAAACATATCGTAAGAGATACTTTTCATGTGCAGCAGTGACATTTTTGGGTTTCATGTGGACCGTCCGGTGTTTGGTATTGTTATAAGACTGAACAAGAGTCTTGACTAGAGGAATCCACTTGTATGTTCCTTGTAAGCTAAATTGTTTCCACATTTTCGCTTTGAGGCTACGATTGAATCGCTCACAAATTGATGCTTTGAGGTTACTAAAGATTGAGTACATCACGATTCCATAATCTTTCATGAGCTTCTTGAACTCACTGTTGTAGAATTCCTTGCCACGATCCACATGCAATTTTTGCGGTACGCGACCTTGCTTCAATACAGACGCCATAGCATTAGTAACATCTTACCCATTTTTCGTCTTCGTTGGCACCGCTCAAGCATATTTCGAGAAAATATCGATGATTGTTAAGAGGTTTTGTAACCGTTGTTCTCATGGGCATAAGCAGTCATATCAACAAGGTCTGCCTACCAGGTTTCATCCAGCGCCCGCATGTTCACATGCCTACCCTAGTGGAAAAACCTAAGGCAGAGGCGTAACATGCCTGATCAGAATTTCGGATCGGACTTGATCAGTTTCTGATCGAGACCTGAACAGAATTTCCACTCGGGTACGTGGATAACTTCTTCGAGCTGGTCTATGAAGTTCCTCTACTACTACCGCTTTTGTGTCCATTCTCCAATGCAATTAAACGTTTATCCAAGTTAGCAATTATTTCAGAATTACGCAACGCCAAGTCTTGATTTGTATCCTCTTGAATTCTTTTCAATTGGTTCGTGATCATTGGTTGCAGACCATCAAGGATTGACTGAATCTGACGAGAGACAGATTCTTTCAATGTTGTTAGTTCATCGCTCAAATGCCTAATGGTCTTTGAATGATCGATCAACCGTTCTTGTACTTCCTCTTCATCTACACGTTTTTGTCTCATAGTCGCCAAAAAATTTTCTTGAAATGATTGGATCATTATTTGAATTCCATCAATTCTCCCACCCATAGATCCAGTGACATTATATATAAGACGAATCTCCTCTCTCATCATATTGCGCATTATTTTCAAGGAAACTGCATCATAGTCCTCTACAGAATCAGCTAAATTACACAGTCTGCGATGATCCATATCATAGTGTCCATCGGGAGTAACTTAATAACCTTCTCCTGGAGGACCCCGAGTACCGGAAGTCCTCACAATACTCTTACTCAACTGACGTCCAAACATGTCAACACTCATATTTCAAATGATGAATTATCATTCCCACAGTCTAATAAATAATGCCGGCCTCACGCAATTCTTCCATTATTGACATAATTTCGTGTGACTTATATTTCCAGCTGATTGTGATGCCATAAGCAATCGGAGTCTATCCACTAACTCATTTGGATCATCCCAATATACATAGTCCATTTTTTTAGGTTTTATTGATGCAATCATATGATGAGGAAGCGCTGTTCCAGTTTTCTTGGAGTCAATGAGATTTGCGATAATATTGTGATATTTCATGCTGCTGCTTGTTCGAATAGCTCCACTAGGCTTGTACCACATTCGATGAGCATTTGTACTCCGTATGATATTACCGTAAGTATGTTTATCAGTTTCGGTTATGAGAATCATGTTAGGTGACTTCTTAAGGATCAATTCAATTAGACCAGGATTTAATGTATATTCCTCACCTTTGAGGGTCATTGAATTTCCATGAAAAGTGACCACAGAATCACCAATCTTCATATTATTTTTCAAAGAACGAACACCATATTCTGTATCCAAATCAGTCTTCTCACGCTCTGTATCGTATCGATCTAGATACGTTTGAAGAAGCTTGTGTGAAGCTATAGGAGATTCCGGCTTCGTTGATGAAATACGATCAGTTGGATTCATAGCTTTTATTGGGGATATTTTTTTCACAGGGGTGCTTGTAAGTTTGCTTTCTAAAACAGATGAGCGTTCTTCTAGAGATTCATATTGAGAAGGACTCTCATAGTCATCATCCATATCTTTCTGCATTCGAACAGTAGTACCAGCTATCTTCCTCTTTCTTCGCTTCTTATTTGAAGATTCCTTCATTACCGACTGATCCACCAATTTCTCGAGCGGAGTTATTACTGGTTTGAGTACTTCACTCATAGCCTTCTCAGTGGTTTCTCTACCCAATTTTATCATTTTATGCTTGCGGCGAATAGCACCACTCGCTTGAGTGATATTCCGCAAAATATTCGTCTCCTTCTTCAAATTTTCGCTCTGCATGTTAACACGGGTGTAGTTGTACAACAACTATTCTCAATTCCTTTGAATAGTGTATATTTATCTTTTCATGAAGCAATCGAATCCTTTTCGATACCGACCCTCATTGAGTTCACTATCTTTGTCAATTACTATGAAATTATATTTGCCTCCATTCCAGCATTTCGCACACAAATCCTTGAATTCTGTGAAGGAAATGTCAGTATTTACGTGATCTTCATTAATGTGCTTCAAATTCATCTCGTCTTGACGGAAAAGTATCAGTAAATTTGTATTGTCACGCACAAGATGTTTCGGTATACGAGTATATGTTTGACATAGATAGAAACTATCAACATCTCTATGTCGTCCCATGCAGAAAAATGCTCGCATATTATCTTGTTTTTCACATGCCACATCATCGAAAATCATGATGGAATTTGGCCGAGCATTTTCTGGTCTAATGACTTCATCATACTCACTATACGCAAAATGACCTATTCCCTTTATACCAGAGAGTAAACGTTTGAGAAACTGATATTTTGGTTGATTTAGAGATTTTGAATAAACATAGATATTCTCAAATCTCAAACCATTAGGGTGGACTATGAGAGCCAGTAGAGCGTTCGTCTTTCCACAATTTGAGGGTCCACAAATAACTGCTCGTACACTACTAGGTAATCGAGGTCCATGACGCCTTTTCTCACTTTTCTTCTTTTGCCTTAGGTTATCAAAATTCATTATTGGAAGTTGTGTATTCTGCTTCATGAATTTCATGGTTAATGACTGAGCAGAAATCTATAAATATCACTCATTTATAGATATCGGTGACATTCATTCGCTAGTAGTTGGCGTTGGATCAGTCTTGAAAGCATACACATGTTCAATCATGTCTCAGCGAATCATCTAGTCCCATATCCCTCTATGTTATAGCAATGCCTGGCAGAGACACTTATAAATACACACTATTTATCCCATCACACATCAGTTCTCATTTGGATATGAAAGGATACAAATGCAGGAGAGGGCGTCAAGGTAGAGGTTTAGTGAACAGTCTCATTAACAAACTTCCTGTTGAATTACATATACCAGGCTACCAGTATTGTGGTCCTGGGACAAAACTACAAAAACGATTGGAGCGAGGTGACCCTGGTATAAATCCACTTGACGCAGCCTGTAAAGAGCGCGATATAGCCTACTCGAAAAATCGAGATAACCTAACTGCATGACACGAAGCGGACAAAATTCTTACAGAGAGCGCCTTAAAACGAGTTTTATCGAAAGACGCAAGTTTGGCCGAAAAAGCTGCTGCTTGTGGTGTGGCTAATACTATGAAAGCTAAAACCTCCCTCGGAATGGGCATAAAAAAAATTCGCGGCAAAGGTGTTGCGAAAAGAAAAACAAAAAAAAAGGAAACGTGGTGGCGCTATAAAGAAGAAAAAGAAAGTCTCCTTGAGACAAATCATTCGAGCTGCTAAAACGTCTATGCGTCCGTGAACCGATGCTATCAAATCGGCTCTCAAAGGCGCACGTGAAGCAGTGAAGGAAATTGGTGGTAGAAAGCGAGTCCAATCACCTCGTATCTTACCTGTACCAGCCAAAATTGGGGGTGTATTACACTTCCTCATATCTCTTTTTGCCGGATTGAGTGCCACTGGAGTATTGGCTGGTGGCGCTGCTGGCATTGCTAAAGCCATTAATGATGCTAATGCGGCTAAGAAAGCGTTACAAGAGAGGATGAGGCATGACCAAACAATAGATTGCAATTGCAATTGCATTGGGCAAGGACTTATACTTGAAACCTTATAAAATAGGTTTAGATCTTCATTTAAAAAACGCATAAAGCTACCACACCGAGCCCTCATCGACGTTGATTTGTTAAAATACGCCAAAGCCATGAAAATTCCACACTTTCGTGGAGTATACATGAGAAACGAAATGCCCAAGACTAGTCCACACAAATACGAATCAGCCAAAATTAATCTTGATGATAGAGATGGACCTGGTACGCATTGGGTTGCATACAAAAAGCAAAAAAATAAAATTCTCTATTTCGACAGCTTTATTAATCTTGAACCTCCTCAAGATATGATAAATTATTTCGGTGTTAGTAGCATTGTCCTTATATATAAAGGAAAGCATAATTGCTGCCGAATGAAAACTGGAATTGAAGAATGTCGAATCGATTCACCGAAAGTCGAAGTCGAACGGACGTGTTCGATCATGAACGTATGAAACAGAAATAGAGTGTCGTTCGAATAAATTGCCACATGATGTTATCTTCAGAGTCATTGCGGCGGATGAAAGACGCATTCTCATGAGAACTTTCATGAGAATGAGCAATTCGGCCGCGACAGTGCTATTTACAAAAGCGCGCTAGAATTACAAATCGGATTTCTAACCTCGAATAAGAAACGAACACCGTGTATACATTAAATACATCAGTGCATATTTTCTATAATACACGCATTTGTTTATAATTAGTGGAATGGGAAATGATTTTTTGGTGATAAAAGTTACGAGCTGACAAGATTAAATTATAGATGATTAATGAACTTGAATGTCGAGAATGAATTAAAAAAAAATAGAAAATCTAAAAATATTCAATTTTAAATTTTTCATTCGATTTTGGTTATTCGATGGTTTGTTTAATGAAGTCAATACTTATATCACAAAATCAAATAATATTGATTTTTTTGCCATGGAATTAATTTTTGGTGAAATTCTGAAAACGGAAGAATTCGTTATAATTCAGGAATAGTACATTACATGCCCGAGCCTTGGAAAACAGATCACCGTCCTCCACGTGCAAGATTGCCTTCCGAGTCGAAGGCGAGGATGGGGTTTTTCAGGTCCCATTACACGAAAAAAATTATTCTTTCAGTGAAACATTGATTGCTATTGGATTATTTATATAAAAAACGATTGTGGTCTTCGAAAATTGTGATTTTCCAATCATTTCATTAGTGTATTTCAGAAAGTCGACTTCATTTTTTCCTAGCAATTATACTGTTGAAAAAAATTGAAATCCATGGATAGTTGAGTGGTAATTTTTAGGAGCAAGGCATTTAATTTAATTTGAGAAAGGAAAGTCATGAAATTTAAAAATTAACTGAAAATTTAATGGAATTCAACATTTCTTAACAGTATGAAAGTAAAAAGTTGCTTGAATTTTCATTTAAAACGTGAATATTCTGCACCTAATTACTTACTCTGTATTTTTGATTGAGAAACCAATTATAATTGTTCTAATCATTTAGGTCGGGGGCAATAGAATGATTCAACTTTCTTAATGTTGCGTTTACTAAGGTTTTCTCCAAAGTTGATTAGAATCAATAACTAGAATTATGAGTTTATTATGACATTTTTTACATGAAGTGCAGAAGAATCTGAATGCACTACAGTGCAAATGATGATAGATTTTTTCACGTTGAACAAAGAATAATAATAATATAGGAATAAAAGAAATTCAGTTATGAATGAACAGCTGTGGCTCAATATTCCATAACAGTAGAGAACAGGAATGATGATATTTTCATAATATCTGACACATTAACATGAATTTCAGATTCACAAAAAAGAATTCAGCAGAAGTCAAATTGTCATTTTACGTTTTAATTTCCAATTTGATGTTGAGAACATGAGGTGACAATATTCTAAATGAGGAATTATGTTGATGATATGAACAATAGATTAATTGAATTACCGAGTGAACTGATTGAAAAATTGTATCATGGTGTTGGCAAGCACTTTTACCAGAGTATCACTAAACATGGAATTCTGGTAATTTACTCGTCGAATTATGTTCGAGTAGAAATTGAATTGTAACTATGATTGAAATCTTATTCAGTGAGCAGAGGAATTAGCATATGCGCAGGTTATTCATTGCAATATAAATATTTCATAGTTAATAAATTGAGGCACATCATTTTCATCAGTTGCACTGCTTTTTGCAATGACAATGATTATGAACAATGAATGGAAGAAAGGAATTCTGAGTCCGACGAGAAAAAAGGCATAATGAACATTGCAGCCGGAATTGTGTTATAAATATGGTAACCCTTCAGCTCGACTAAGATAATAATCAAAAGTCGAAACTATTGAAACTGATAATATGAAAATTTTAGAGTAGGTTTTATCTTTTATGTGAGCACTCATCCAGAAATTGTTAGAAATTAATAAATACGTGTTTCAGCTTCGTTACAAAATCCATCTCTAAGGGGGTGAATAGGGAATGAATTATAGAAACTTCGAGAAAGGTTGCAGGTTTCCAGAAAATCAGAACTGTCAATTTTTTTTCCAAATGCAAGATAATTCGGGTGTTTTCCAAAAAATCAAGACAATTATGAGGTTTTCTGAAGAACTTTGAGACAATCTATGAAGTTTTTGAAAATTACAAAGCATTTACAATATCTCTCAAATATTCGAGGATTGTTGAATAAATAATGGGAAAACTCGAAATTGATAGGAAAGGGCGGCATTTTGCAAATAAAACTGATTTGAAGCAGTCATGAAAGCCCGAATACTGCATTCTAATTAATTGAAATGCGAAAGGAGGAAATAATTTGGTAATTCTTCGGATTTTCTCCACAATTCCACAAAATTTTTCAAGTTTCTTGAAAAAAATTCATATAAATTTCGAAAGATTATAAAAAATTTGAAAAAATTTCAGATGATTCATCAAAGTTTCAAGTTTATGACATAGTCGAATAAAATTGTGAAAAAAATCATGAATGAAGCGAAGAAACTTCGAATTAGCGAAAGAACATCAGGATTGACCCCATAATTTTTCTAGAAAAATAATTGAATACTTTTGTCAAGTTGTAAACGGAAATAAAGAGGGAGGCGAAGACAAAAAAATTATGGACTGTGAGAAATTTGATAATTGTCGTTTTGCACTCTGAAAATAATTTTGATTACAATAGTAATTAGAATTTCATTCAATGAGGACGGAAACTCAGAATTAGTGGATCACTTATTAAAATATTGAAATTGAACAAGCAATGAACCGAGACGCATTGTCT